AATTCATTTTATGTAACTTGGTTTAATAATATTATAAAACTGCATATCATTCATTGAACATAGCCTGGTGCATACATTACTTCTTTAACCAGTGATTTTTAATATTTCAAGAACTTTAACCAAAGTGACTATGATTGTTTAAAAAATTTTACCAAAACTTATGTTGATAATTACTATGCGCTTACTAGTGACTAGCTTCGTGAAGGAAATCTCGGAGTTCTAGTGAGAAGATGTGAGCAGTGGAACTAATCTATATTGGCTAGAGACAAGTATCTATCTCAGTACAATGGAAGACGGTCGCACAATTTCGTGGATTGGTTGAAGTTAAACATTGACACCGTTGGGTGACCGTTCAGTGATCTAGAGATTAAGCGTTCGCGCTCGAGACCGAAATCCCTGGGTTCGAGTCCCGCGGGCGAAATCATGGATGTGCACTGCTTATATGTATTTGTTTGGTTTATTAGACAAATTATTATTACTATTATCATTATTATTAGCTTTATTCAATATTATATTTTTGGTACAATATAGAATTCTTAGCACGGAGTATTTCAATATGTTTCCGTTTCTTATTTCTTGATCAATATTGACGATAACATACTGAATGATCGCCAGCTAGATGTTAGCAGTTCAGTTAGTCGACATCTAAATAATTTACATTCTTTTCGATGTATATTACCAGCAACCATGATATCTCTGATTAGGCTCTTTTCTAACTTGTACGATGAAAAGTTGTACACTTTTCAGAAACGTATCTGAATGGGTTATGTAATTGATAGACATAATTATGTATTAAAACAAACAAAATTAGATAAATTATTAGGTAGCTCAGATGTTCAAGCAAGATGTCAATAGATCGATCATTAAGTTGTGACCGATGTTATGTTGATCTAGATTTTAGGTGTTAATTTAATTTAATTGCTTATGTCTTAATATGACCATTAATCATAGTGACTCAACACTTCCTAGGAAGTAATAATTGTATCAAATTGAAGGTGTAACTTGTTGTTGGATGAATATTGAATAAAACCTTGAGTTCATGGTTTCTTGTTAACTATCTTCAACTATTTAACATATTACTAACCAATATTCAGATTGAGTCCTGATAGCCACTTGCTTGTGCAATGGGGTGAATTTAAATTCACTTGGTATTGCTTACCTTGTATTTTCCCATTGAGGTTTAAGACTGCATCAGTAGCTGAGTGGATAACGCGATGGCGTTTAAAGCGAATGGTACTGGGTTCGAGTTTCAGAGTGAACACCAACTCTGAGATGAAGGTACATCCAGCTGACGAGTCCCAAATAAGACGAAACGCTGCTAGCCACTATCCACCGTTGCTTACAAAAAAATGTAATGAATTGTTTGAAACTTGAATAGAAGATATACATTTTGTGTAAGTTTATGACTACTTCCTGCTATTCACTGATGACATTATAGTTTCAATGTAATTATGATAACTTTAGATCATTGTGTCAGAATGTAAGTGTTCACTATAAGACTTTGATTACTCCATAATTTAAGGTGATCTAGATTTAATGTCACAAATAGAAATGATTTCACTCTTTATATAGATATATAAAAATCAATATAATATTGAATCATCTCTGTAAGCAATAATTGATGTGCTCACCAGTGGATAGTTTCTAAGTAGGACTTCAGACTAGATTTCAATAATTACAGTAATGAAATAGATATTAGATGTGAGACTAGATGATTATATCAATACAATAAGAGTTGAATAATATTGGAAATGAATCCCAATCAACTACAACATATTAGTTTAAGTGTATTATGCTTATATCACCGTTTGAAGATCCTGGATTTGATAACCATATTAAGAAATATCTGTGAATATTGCTAAAGAGATTTTAAGCTTTGATAAAAAGCTGTTCAGTGGTTCTCTATTGATCATCGTTTCATATGCAACTTTCCTTCTAATAACGTCTAAAAGGTCCTTTGTATAAAAAAATACATCAAGTTTATTAATTAAGTGTTCGCTCACGAAACTGAAGGTTCAGGGTTCGAGTCCCTTGTACGGAAATGTGCACTGATGAGTAGTTCCATACTAGAACGAAACGGCCGTTCAGTGATTTCAGATTCTCATTAGTGGTTTAACATTGATCGATTCATGATCTTTATTAAAAACCCAACAATTTCCACAACCCTGTATTGATAAAGTTTACAAGTCTAGTTTCTATACGTAAATTTTGAAAATTGAAGTATTTCATAACTAGACTAGTTTTATTTGAATAAAAAGATATGGCTTAAAACTCAACTTAAAATGTTTATGTACATTTTCATCTATTCCCATGGTACTCGTTAAAATTATTGAAGGGAAACAGTTGTAGAGTGATTCCGTACTGTTCATGACACTTACTCATGTCTCCAGCTTTTTAATCTCAATCAATTACTATGAATCTGAGAACCATATCTCCATTGATGAATCTATTTCTTGAGAAATGTCAATAAAAATCGATTTTAGATGAAAATTTTCTGTTATTATAGTGTGTACTTCTGATATCGATAGATATAAGTAGTATATATATCCACAATCGAAAGTGAAATGCCTATAGGTAGAAAATTAAGAAAATCAAAGAGAAGAGAACAAGAACAAACAGTAATTAGTATGAAAATGAAAGAACAACAAAGTTTCAAATAATTATTGAATAATTTCAATGGTTAAGATCATGAGTCAATTGAAGCTAGACCACCATGGAAAACCTGGTAGCACTGGACGGCCGTTTCCTCCTATTGTGGGACTCCTCAGTGGCAGTGAGCATTCACGATCCTACCCAGGACCTATCAGTCTCGTACGCGAGCGCTTGACCACTAGACCACTGAGCCAGTCGGATTCCAACAGTATTAATGTCTAAATAAAGTACTGATTGTATGGTTTTGAGATTTTATCAAATTATTCAGTAATATATTCTCATTCATTACATTCTATCAATAACTGACTATTTGATCGAATTCAATCTTCGATTATTTAAATATTTCATTATAATTCAGTTTAGTTTAGAACAGTATTACTGTAACTGACATATTTTACCTTAAAATGAAATATGGAACATGGGTACATTCATCCAGCATTTTTATCCAATATAATATACAATATAATAAATCATACCCCCTCCCCCCCAATATTTTTTCTGTATATTTTTGTAATATTTAGCTTATAAGGATTATTAAACAAAAAACAATTTATAAACATCTGTATTATTATTTATTATTATTTAAACACATAAACATTTGCACAGGGAGGCACCAAGTGGATATGCGCCACATAAATCATTCGATTTATGTGCGGGCTGTGATACTACCCTGGTGTTCAAACCGAGGCAAGTGGTTTTCTTAGTAGGCCACACCCCGAGCTTTTGACCTAAAGGTCTGACCCACAAGGCAATGGAGAATCGTAAGGAGATGCAGTCCCATAGTAGCTGGTGACCAACGATTGGTTAATGTGTCAATTGTTCCTTCAGGATACTGGAGCCCATGTTGACCATTGGTTTGGGATCAGGGATTTCCAACTCCTCTAGGTAGACTCTCCATATCCACCAACCTGATTAAAGCGCCGGACATTCGCTTTTCGTCCTCTCAATTTCGCAAACAAAACCCCAGCCACGGGAAGGTAATGAGTAAGACTTCCCTGACAGAGGCTATATACGCATGGCTATGTGAGAGCATTTCGAGAGGGAGAGCGAACTCTCCTCACCAGGGCATCAGTCTCACATGCGAGCACGTAACCTCTAGACCACTGAGCCGGCCGATATCCAACTGTGTTGGTGTTGTCTAACTTCAACTAATCAATGATGTTGCACCACAATACACCATTGTCATCAGTCAGTTACTATCTCACAACAGATTCGATTGAACTTCACTTATTTATTTGTATACTAAGTTTATCTAACTGAATGTGACTAAGTCTATAATTTCTTAAAGAAATACTATTCAGATATTTATACAACTGATTTATTCTCTTCTTCATAATTAATCAAATAGTAAGAGAAAAAAAGCGAAACAAACAAATTTTTCTTTTTTTTTGGTAATAAAAGTTTCACTCTACAGACACATTAGAATTGTTGCAATTCTAATGGTTGAAGCGAGCGGTACTGGGTTCGAGTCCGGGAGTGAATATCAACAAGTTTGGGATGCAGGTACGTCCGGCTGATGAATCCCAACTAGGTCGAAACGCGAGTCAAACTGGATTCCACTGCTAACCACTATCCATCTTTGCTTAAAATTCTAATTGTTGTTATGAATTTGATTGGCAAGTAGAATCGAGTAAATTAAGTTTAAACAAAAAGTTGAATGCCATTTCTAGTTAAGAGTTAACAGTTTTTGGAGAAAATGTTACTTTCAGAAATTACAGTTAAAAATAATTCATATATTTCATTCAGTAAAAATTCACTTGATGTTGTTTGCTTGTATCTTCCTATTGTTTTGTTAGGACTGCAATTGATCAGTCTCCTATTGGCAATATGTTCATCGTTTGCACAGTGACTCGATATTGCTTTAAGACACAACCTTTTATAAGAGAGGACGAGTCCTAAATAATATGAGACGCGCGTCGTGGATCCCACTGCTAGTCACTACCCATCTTTGCTTAGAATGTTTGTGAATTAAGATAATATCGAGGTAATATGCACAGGATGCACATATGCCAATAACAGACTGATCGATTTCTGTCCTAAATAACAATCCACCAATACTGGTTAATGACATAATTACATGAACTTTATTATAACTACCCTAGAAACAACAATCTTACATAACTAAAAATATATATATAAATATAACTATTTGTTTCTAATATACAATATAAATAACCAAAAAAACACCCATGTAAAATGTTGATTACATAACTTTTATAAATGTACTTTCGTAGAAAATGTTGACTCATATTATTAACCAATCAGATTATAGTTTTTTAAAACAATTTTCCTATTGGTTAAAAAATTTATATATATATATACTACGAAAAAAAAAGAAAAAAAAGAATTCTGGATTGAATTCATTATATTAAATCATAAAACGTTTCTTACGTCAATTTCCTTTCGTCGAGGAGCATAGATTGCCCATCCACATTCTTCATCGAATCCTTTCCACATAAAACGTTTACTTATATATATGCTTATTGCTTTATTATTATTAGTAGTAATTATTAATCATGAATAATCAATTAAATACAACAAATAAACAAACCACTTTACAATTATATAGAATAATAAAACTTAATAATGAGCATAGTAATAATAATAATAATCAAATATTTACTTTTATAATACCACCACAATTCATTAAAGGATTTTTACATAGTGTCCAATCTAATGAATTCTATTATGCTGGTCATTATTGGTATATACGTATGGAATATGATATCAATACAAATAATCAATATAATACTACTAATACCAATACTACCAATACTACTATTAATAGTAGTAAACAATTTATACAATATAATAAACAACCATTAGGTATATCAATTCATTTATGTCATTTATCTAATGGTTTATTATGTCATTTAAAATCAATTAAATTTACTATACCCCATCAATATAATTATACATTAAATTTAATACATCAAATGAATAATTTATATTTTACAAATAAAAATTTATCTTATCAATTATCACCATGGATTCAATCGAATTTATTATTAACTAATCAATATTATTTATTTGATAATGATACATGTTTATTAGAAATTGAATTGAATCAATTAATTACCATTTATGAAGAACAATTACATATATCGAAAAATATTAAAGATATATTACATTGTAAATGTATTGAATCTACTACATTTACATATTCTAATAATGATTGGAGTTTTATTATTGATTGGAATCATTTATTCAATAATAATAATACTACTACTAATACTACTAATAATACTACTAATAAAGATATTAAAGTTATTAATGATTATAGACCGAAATGTTATTTACAAAAGCATAATACATTAAAACATTGGATTAGAATACAATATCTAATTTCTATTCATTGGTATAATTTAGGTGAATTTACTACAGATATATTAGATCATTTAATTAATCCAGATCATAGTTCTATAACTAAACCATTATTAATTGGTGATTTAAATTGGTTTTTAAATAATACAATTACTAATATGATTAAATTAAAACATAAAATTTCTATTAAAATTCATTTCTATTCAATTACATATATTAATTTAATACAATTAATACCAACATTACCACATATGAATCAAAATTGTACACAATTTATTGATCCATATGGTATAGAATGGTTTGTTATAAGTGATATATTAGGCAAATTAGTACATTTGAAATTATTTTATTTAAATCATTCTAATACTACTTATAATACTACTATTAATAATAATAATAAACAATTGAATGATAATGAATATCAATTACAAGTTCGATCAACTGCATGGTCAATTCAATTAATTCCATATAATAAATCATTAAATAATGTTAAATCAATGAGTCCATTTTATGTTATATATACTTCAATAAATAATAATACAACAAATCAAACAATAATGAAACAAAATTCAAATACAAATTATCAAGAAATTGTTTTAAATTTAGATGTTGAAAAGGTATGTTATTATTCTTTTTATTCTTTTGATGATGATTGATTATGTTCGATGCCGTCTCAATGGTTTAGAGGTTTGAGGTTCGCGAGTGAGATCGATAGTTACTGGGTTCGAATCCTGCGGAGTAGGAGTCTCATAATAGGATGAAACGACCAGCCATTACTTCTAGGTTATCAATGATAGTCTAACATTCATCAATTCATCATCTCAATTAAAACGTATGTGTATGACTTAGTTCATTATTTAATTAGATAATACGTAATTTATATAAATGATAACCGAAATCCAGAAACAGAAAGATAATTAATTTTAACATTTAAAACTAGAAAAGACTATTATTAATATAATTAAATACTGGTTAGATCAATTCATATATGTTTAGCTTACAATTATGGTAAGTTCTATCAAACAACAAACTATTCTTTGAAATTAATTACATGGAAAAACTAAATATGTATTATGTCAATGACTTTATTTGATGTATCATCTAGATACGACTTTTATAAACATTCTGAAAATATCACTGGTTGAAATCATGAGTCAATTGAAGCTAGGTCACGATGGAAAACCTGGAAGCACTGGATGGCTGTTTCGTCCTACTATGGGACTCCCCAGTGGCAGTGCGCATCCACCGCGAGATTCGGACCTAGGACCTATCAGTCTCGCGCCAGTGCTTACAGGTTTTCCATGGTGGTCTAGCTTCAAATGACTCATGATTTCAACCGGTGAAATTTCTAAAATCTTCGCGAAATTCCTTCTGATAATAATTATCTGCTCACTAGTGACTGACTTTAAGAGATACTCCTGGAGTTCTAGTGAGAAGCCATTATCAGTAGAGTTCAACCAGGTCTGTTGTGAGACAATGCTGTACGGTGGCGCAACATCGTGGATTGGTTGAAGTTAGACATTAACACCGTTGGATGCCGGCCAGCTCAGTGGTCTAGCGATTAAGCGTTCACGTGAGAGACTGATTGGTCTTGTGTTAGAATCTCGCGGGCGTAGGAGGGATCGTGGATGCACACTGCTGAGGAGTCCTATACTAGAATGAAACGGCCGTCCAGTGCTTCCAAGTTTTTCTTGGTGATCTACCTTCAATTGACTCATGATTTCAACCTGTGAAATTTCTAAAATCTCTACAAAACACCTTCTGATAATTATGAAAATAGGCCGAAAGAAAAAATAAGGCAATTAGTGTCCCTTTGATAAATTTCGATAATGTAATAATAAGAAGACGAAGATTATCAGTACTATGTGAAGATCACCACCCAGTGATCAATCAATTGTGGTTACATCTCACCCGAGAGGTAACATCTCTGACTATGAAGCTGAGTGATACAGGATCGAATCCGTCAGGGAGCACCAGTACATACATTTCAAACAATCTGACCACACATTACATACTTGTTAATAACATTTATATATAGAAAATAAAGGGTCAACTATACTGGAAATAGGAATAAGAGGAGACAAGGATAATAATATGCGTATTAGTTATAATAATGTGAACTCAATTCGAAACCTAATCACTCTTCAGATAATAAGCCAATATTATCAGGTTAGGTTTAAGATGAGAACAAACTGTTTGTAAATACACAAAGGGGTTTTGAATTTTCATATGGCTAAGGCTTCAATAAACCTTAATATACTCCCTATTAACACTTTTATAAAACAACACAAAAGCCGCGTTAAGATCAGTCATATGACCTGTTTCGATTATATGTTTAACAATAAACGATGATGGATGTTAATCCTCTACTCTTACTGGGTCATTTGATTCTATTTGTTTCTGAAACAGTTTTGGTTCAGGAAACAAACCTATGATTGATTAACAATTATTAGAATAAAATATCTAAATATCAGTTTTGAGTTGTAGAAATTGTTGAATTGCTTTGAAATAAGGAATTGATTTAAATTAAACAATTATTAAATGCATGGAAGTGTTGGATAGCGATTTCGTTCTGATATGGAAGTGTTGGCAATGCATCAACAACCTTGCATCTAGGAATTACATTCAGGACGATCATTGTTGCGCGTGAACACCTACTCTCTAGATCAATGAGCCAACATCTAACGGTGGTAATGTCTAATTCCAATAAATTCATGATATTAACGCGTCATACACGCCTCTACGAGGAGTAACAGGCGTAAGTAAGTAAGTAAGTAAGTAAGTAATATCTGGAACTTGAGTGATATATCAGTAGAATCAAGAGTATCAAATGAAAAGGATCAATTAAAATATCAATACGCATTACTTTAAATGGTTGAATGATGTTCGTTTGAATCAAATATTGAAATAGATAGATTCAAACATGAATTATTGTACTTTTAAGAATGGATATCTAGAAGTATTAGCTAATGAAACTGGTTTTATTAAACCATTAATGGTTTTATTTATATGTAAGAAGACAAAATAATAATAATAAATGATCCGATCTAGTTAAATTATACAGTTAGTAAGACAGATATTTTCTCTAATCTACTTACTTACTTACGCCTGTTATTCCCAAATGAGAATAGGCCGCTGACGGGCATACTCCAACTCACTCTGTCCTGGGCCTTCTTTTCTAATTCCATCCAATTCTTGTTCATTTTTCTGATGTCTATTTCCATTTCTCGGCATAATGTGTTCTTTGATCTTCCTCTTTTCCTTTGGCCTTGAGGATTCCGAATGAGGGCTTGTCTTGTAACGCAGTTGGGTGCTTTCCTCAATATGTGTCCTATCCACTTCCAGTGCTTCTTCCTAATGTCTTCCTCCGCTGCGATCTGGTTTGTTCTTTCCCACATCGGCTTTCATCATGAAACGTCATAGTTCCTCTAAATGAAGATCTTCTGACTCCCAGGGCAGAGTTTAAAAGGTCTGAATAGTTTGTTCTGGTTAACGATTTCCAGCGAGTTAGTTTTCTACGTGATGGGGTCGCTAACCCCATGCCCAACCCTTCTCCTTTATCTGGGCTTGGGACCGGCAGTAGCCCCCGGAGGGACTCCAGGCGGAGTTTTCTCCAATCTATGATTACCGATATTTCCTAGTTTGATTATCGAAATATTCTGTTATCCATAAAAAATTATACGTAATATCTTATTGTTTTAAGCTTTTAATATATATCTTTATGAGTTAAAATATCTACTTTTAGTGGCCCAATATTTGACTCCTATTTGATCCTGTATTTATCGTTATCGACTTATACATTGTCGCCAATCCTCGTATATAATCACCGACTTAACTCATGTTAGTGTATAACGGAATTAAATAATTCAAATAAGAGAATGAAGTTTGAATGAGTATGTTTCATACAATTGTTGCTTTGAACAGATAATCTGGAAGACGGAACGATGAAAGCGGAAAGGAGAGAACAAAGTGAGACGGATTGCAGAAGACATGTTAGCCAACTCGATTAATTCAAGCGTTAATCAATGTTTATAGTCAGACAAAAATTAGTTACAGACATGAGATAAATGAGATAAGAAATGTACACACATACGCTTATTTAAAAACAGTCAAAGTTGATAAGTGAATAATTAACAAGATCAAAATGTGAATGAATAAATCTAACCATCCGGAAGTTAGAATAAGCTATATGAATTAAACATAGCAACCAACATTACATAATGAAGTGATGTAATAAATATTTTGTGTGTAGATTTTACCTTGGCACTTTTTAACCGGTACCGTAATCATGTTCATGATCTTAATCAAAAACTTAATAATCTCCACAACCTCTAAACTGATAATTACCATGTGCTCACTAGTAGCTAGCTTTGTGATGGAATTCTCGGAGTTCTAATGAGAAACCATGACAATTGGAGCTAATCCGTGTTGGATAGAGACAGGTATCTACCTCAGTACAATGGAAGATAGTCGAACAACTCCGTGGATTGGTTGATGTTATACACCAATAACATTGGATGCCAGCTCAGTGGTTTAGTAGGTTGGGCGTTCGCTCGCGAGACTGAAGGTCCTGAGTTCGAATTCCACGAGCGGTATTGTAGATGAGCACTGTTGAGGAGACTCACAATAGGACGAAACGACTGTCCAGTGCTTCCAGGTTTCCAACGGTTGTCTAACATCAATCAGTTCATGATTTCAATCAATAACTTAATCTAGAACGGTTGGGCATGTGTACATATGCAGACTCTTTATAATAAATGTTAAGATTGTTAATATTTATGGCTTATCTATTATTTAATATGAAATTACTGTTAAGATGAATTTAAAGTAAAAACAAACTTTCGGAAAGATTCTATCTGGAATTATTGTTAATAATTTGTTATACAATTTTTATGTTGATATGTGACCATGATTTCGTTTCGTATTATTGTATGAGTAATTCATGAATTCGAACTGTATAATTAAACGTTATCTGAAAGCTGAGTTATTCTTTGTTCCGGCTATTGGGTAAACGAGCTTGGGAAACTTTATTCTGGATCAATGATCATTTCGAGGATTGAAATAATTGTCACTTAAGACACTTGTTAGCAGCCGTTCAATATTGGTATCAGAAGGGGTTTTGTGGAGATTGTAGTAATTTCAATAGCTGAGATCAAGAGTCAACAAATTATAGTCTCGCCATTTTATTTGTTATAGCCGCTCAACTATCACGTTTTGTACAAAATTCCCTGTAAACCGATTGTACGTTGGCATTAAGCACTGAAGTTTGCGCCGTAACCTTGACATCTCTAAAACACCTCTGATTGGCCCGTCCATAAATTAAAGGCTCGCTATAAATTTTATTTATTCCGGAAATAAATAAAATATAAAATTAATCAATCATTTAAATGACATTTATTTTGTCAAATATTCTTCCGGAAATAAATAGAATATTGATGTTATTGTAAAAGTATGAGTATTTTACGCCTCTTTTTATTCATTATCGAAATGTTACTTTTTTTTGTGTAACCATGATAGATTCGTAATATTATCTTAATCAGTTTAAAGATAAACAAGAGGTATTACTATAAAAGTATTAATGGAGATTGATGAATTTCATAGTGTACATTATATTGTTGTATTGTATTCGATGATCAACTATTGGTTCATATTTCATTTGTTTCCCTCAGGATCTGGGTACTCCATGTGTACCATTTGTTTGAAGTCAGGGTTTTCCTATTCCCCTAGGTGGACTCTCCGTATCCACCAACTTGGTTGAAGCGCCGGTCATTCGCTTTTCGTCCTTTCAATTTTCATAAACAACACGCTCGCTGCATGAAGGTAGTGAGTAGCACTTCTCTGACTGTGATTGTATACGCGTAACCATGTGAGAGCATTTCAAGAAGTAGAGCTAACTCTCTCCACTCTTGGTCGTAGCAGCACATTTGGGTGCATTCATGTATAAGTTTCATGACCAGTATTCAATGATCATTATATATAACTCTAATCCATTTACGATATTACGTAACTGTCTTCTTTTGGAAGGTAATGCTATCACATTTGATATGATTAAAATACATTGGTCATAACATCTCTATGTACTTGATGCCTAATTTCTTTTCAAACTGCTTATTTAAATATTGACGAATATTTGAATAAATGTCTTGTTGGCTTTCAGTAGTTATCTGACTAAAATTAGTTCATCACATTAACTGTCAAGTGACCTGAAAAGACTTTAAAATAAGTAGCGATTGAAAATCTATAACATTTCATCAGATCATATTCAATCATTAAGTTGACTAAGAAAGTGGTATGATAAACATAATTACAAAACTATATGTACTACAATTTAGTGAACAGAACACGGGTAGGGACAATCAGATGTATTTAACACAAAATTATAATCATAAAGTATCAGTTTAGAGGTTGTGGAGATTGTTAAGTTTTTGATTGAGATCATGAACCGATTGATGTTAGACCACCATTGAAAACCTGGAAGCACTGGACGGCCGTTTCTTCTCATTGTAGGACTCCTCAACAGTGAGCATGCACAACCCCGCCCCTCGCAAGATTCGAACACAGGTAAGTAGCAGACACCACAACAGAATGTCATCAAAACTTTTTCAATGATAATCTTTAACATTGGTAACACATAAATAACGAGTTGATGTTTATGATAAAATGTATTGAATTCAAGTCCTAATATGATAATTAACACTAGAATGTGAGTATATATTCTTGTTGATATCTTTCAATCAGAATAAAATGTTAATTACGTTTTTCAATCTTAGGCACAATTATTCTTTCTTTGAAATCATTCACAATAATCGCTGTTTTTTACTATTTGGTCACTGTTAATAACTCATTATCATTGGAAGATAACGTGGGCACGTAAAGCACAGTGCGAGTCTTTAACTGTAAAACTGTGTAACATAGGTTTGAACTAGATGAAGAGTGATATGACAGGACGAAAAAGCAGAATTAAAGTTTCGACTCATCATGGTTCTTGTTCAACATTCAGTCAGTTAGTAATCTTGAATGCTGTTGGAGGTATGAGGGTGGTTATCACTTACTGGTTGCTCACACCATGGAAGGGTTCTTCTAGCGGTACGTGAAAAGAAAATTGGGTGAGAGGAACGATTGTTCCAGCCAATATAGCTTGATTGGTTCATCACGTTAGGCAAGCCTGACTACCACGTCAAGGTAGTAGTAATGATCGGGTTGTTCAATATTACTTCCGTTTTTAACGTTCAGCATGTGATTTCTTATATTTCTGGGTATTTTTCATATATACTATTATAGTGTCGGTTACTGTGTTAAACTCATATACCTTATTCTGACTTCTGGACTGGTCAATTTATCCGTTGTTCTTGAGTCAAATTTTTTTAAACCATATTAATTATTCACTTATCCACCTTAAACTGTCTTTATATGAGCATATATGTGTATACATCTTATCCTACTTAACACATATCTGTAGGTTATTTTTGTTTAACTATAAATATTGGCTCACATTCCTTCTCCACCATGCATCACTTCGTTTCACTCCATTCCTTTCAGTGTCTGCCTTAATCAATGACTGTATAAAATATACATATTCAAAACTTCATTCTCGTATTTGACTTATTGAATTCCAATATACACTAAAACGGATTATGTTCATTAATAATATCCGAGAATAGTCAGGATGTATATGATGACAACAATCATTCATATGATCCAAATGGAGCAAGATATATAGGGTTAGTAAACTATAGTTAACAAGCCTTCTCTTATATATACATGGTTATACTTTGAATGTAATATAATTATTTTATATTGATAAAAGTATCATTGATGATTACAATTTTGATTTTAGGTATGTAGTTCAAATTTCGGATATTCACGTCCAAGTGATAATGCAATTACATTACATATTGAATGGTTATATTCTCATGTATTATGTAGAGGTGATTATCAAAATTATGATGAATTAATCGCAAGACAACGTTATCATCTATTGTAAGATTTCAGTTATGCTTTTCTTTAGTTAATTTTTTTTCTTATTTGGATCTTTCATTTTTTAGGATATTATTAATTATCAGAAGGGGTTTGTGGAGATTTTAGAAATTTTCACAGATTTAAATCATGAGTTAGTTGAAGCTAGACCACCATTGAAAACCTGGAAGCGCACTGCTGAGGAGTCCCATACTAGGACGAAACGGCCTTCCAGTGCTTCCAGGTTTTCAATGGTGGTCTAGCTTCAACTGACTCATGATTTAAATCTGTGAATATTATTAATTACTTTGGTATATTCCCCCATATAGGATAGATCCAAAAAAGGTTTTATTAGTTAAGACAATAAACTGTGAAACTATAATTTATGAGAAGGGGTTTTGTGGAAATTTTTTAGAAATTTCACTGGTTGAAATCATGAGTCAGTTGAAGCTAGACTGAACGGCCGCTTAGTTCTACTATGGGACTCCTCAACAGTGCGCATCCACGATCCTGCCCCCCCCACGAGATTCGGACCTAGGACCTATCAGTCTCGCGCCAGTGCTTACAGGTTTTCCATGGTGGTCTAGCTTCAAATGACTCATGGTTTCAACCGGTGAAATTTCTAAAATCTTCGCAAAATTCCTTCTGATAATAATCATCTGCTCACTAGTGACTGACTTTAAGAGATACTCCTGGAGTTCTAGTGAGACGCCATTATCAGTAGAGTTCAACCAGGTCTGTTGTGAGATATCAACTCACTGAAGACAATGGTGTACGGTGGCGCAACATCGTGGATTGGTTGAAGTTAGACATTAAGAGCGTTGGATGCCGGCCAGCTCAGTGGTCTAGTTGGTTAAGCGCCTGGCGCGAGACTGATAGATCCTGTGTCAGAATCTCGCGGGCGGGGGCGTGATCATGGATGCGCACTACTGAGGAGTCCCATATTAAGATGAAACGGCCTTCCAGAGCTTCCAGGTTTTTCATGGTGATCTAGCTTCAATTGACTCATGATTTCAACCAGTATAATTTATGGCCAACCTTTTAGCGAGACTAGACTGACCTTGACAATTTTCATCTAATAACTAGGACCAAATGAGGATTATAAACTAGTATTAGGAAGTAGAATTGGGATTTACAGTTAATGAATAATGTTAAAAATTGGATTCAAAGTTTTTATCACTAACTGACATCAATTATAATGTGAAATTCTATTTAACCAAATGGATGTATGAATTTCGCGCCAAAATCAGTGATCGGTCATCTTATACGTGATTGGTTCGTCCATAAATTATTGTCTCGCCATCATAATAGTAATAATAATCATATGAAAACAACTGAGACTAACAATTAATAATGTTAAGTCTTTATTTATCCTTTCAACTTACTTCTATCCCATCGAACTCAGCGCATTTAGATATGCGTTTGTTGAATATATGCGATACATGTCGTAGGCATTGGATTCATTTAAATTTTACGGTTGAATCACCCACTTTTTCATATTTGCGTTTTACCATAAGTCTAATATCAACATTGTTCATTCGGTGACGTCAGTTAACATGACAGTTATTTCGAATATGTCTATCATGAATTCTCATCAGTCTATATATTTCTTCTAATTTCACTGTCGTACAGTGAAAAAGATCAGAACACTGAGCAGTTTCCCTAGTTATTTACGAGACAGATACAAATCTTAACAATGAATCTTGATTGAAGATTTGGTAAAATTTCACTTGTTTAGATCAAAATGTTGTCGTTCTGAGTTTATTCATTTGATAATAATCGATGTAATAAAGTAAAAATAATCATAATATCAACTACTGATATTACTATATGCTCATTAGTAAATGGCTTCAAGATGTATTTCATAGAGTTCTAGTGAGAAGCAGTGATCAGTGAAACTCAACCGGGTTTGTTGTGAGATAGCAATTCACTGAAGAGGATGGTGGACGTGTCGCTCGATTTCATGGATTAGTTGAAGTTAGACATTAACACTGTTGGATGCTGGCCGGCTCGATGGTCTAGTGGTTAAGCGTTCACATGAGAGACTGATAGGTCCTGAGTTGGAATCTTGCAAAGCAGGATTGTGGATACGCACTACTGAGGAGTCCTACAATAGGAAAAAACGGTCATTCAGTGTTTCCAGGTTTCTAATGGTTTTCTAGCTTAAATGGACTTGTGGATTTGACTATTACAATCTCGCTAGTGACCAGCTTCTTGAAGTTTTATTGAGAAATAATGACCAGTAGAGTTCAATTCGTATCAAAGGTGAGATAGTTATCCACTTCAGACAATGAATGAATAATTGCGTAAGAACATGGATCGAGATTGAAATTAAGACATCAACACTATTGGACCGAAAGTGTTGAGTTTGGATCATATCTGTGAAATCATGAATAGTCTAGCTTAGATCAACGAATAAATTGAACTGTTAAAAATACTACCATCTTTATATAATAATAATAATAATAATAATAATATAAAATTCTATAAATAGTAATAATTTATTTTTATATTTTAGAAGAGATATAAGTAACAAAGATTTAGAGAATGAACATTTAAACAAACTTAAACAAGTTCAAGTTTCAACATCATCATCTAAAGAAAATGATCATCATGATCATGATCATGATAATAATAATAATAATCAAGGGAAATTATCAGAATCTAATATAAATTCTGTGAAACAATCGTCATATTTAAGAAAGTCCTCTGAAATATTACCATCATCATCATCATCGTCATCATCTAAATCATATTTTCAAGATTCATTTAAAATTAAAAAAACTTCAACACATAAAGGATCTATATCACCAAATCATTCAATATCTAGTGGAAATTCTTTAACAAATTCATTAAATATTAAACATTTTTTAACACCATCCGTAATTATTAATAATAATAATATAAATTTAGATGATGATTCTTCATCTACAAATCAATCTTGGCGTCGTCATAGTTCTTGTTTAGAAGAGGTTGGAACAACTAAACCAAGACAACGTAGACAATTACCATCTCCTCCTCCTGTTCCATTAGCATCATCATCGTCATCATCATTGAAATTAACCGAAGTTATATTACCTGAAGATGTGAATACTATTTCTTCAATTGATCGTTTTCAAACAACACGAACAAATAATAATAATAGTCCACGTTTATCATTAAAACATGAACATTCGAATTTTGGTCATTTTATCTAAAAAAAAAATTGTGTGTGTGTGTTTGTGCAATTTTGCCGGTTTTTTTATTCTTTGTGAAAATGAAAAAAAAATTGATTTCTTCAAAGTGTTTTTGTGCATATGCGTGTGTGTGTGTGCTTGCGTGTATAAGTTCGCGTGCATATGTGTGTCATGGAAACCAAACAAACAAAATTTCTTTATTTTCATGGCTTTTTCCTATTTTTAAATGAAAAGAAAAAAAGATAATAACCATATACTACTATAAGGTATTTGTATATTTTTAGATATGAATTCGTTTGATCAATTGTCCCATTAGTTTGTATTGTACATTGAACAGTCTTGTTTAAATTGTTGATGATCACGTAACAAACAAATAAACAAACAAAAACGTTTAAAGAATAAAATGAATTTTGTTTTCATGTGAGTAAATGTGATTTTGTTTTTTGTGGTTTTTGTTTATCGCATAATATACTACTATTATTACTACTTATGTAATCATAAATAGTAAGTAGTAAATACTGAGCTTCGTATATATTTATATATATATTCCTTTTGTTTTGTTTGAAAATTTTATTTTATCATTGATTTGTGAAGTGCACTGTTTTCTTTTTAAATGTTGCTAATTTACATGTTTCTTCTGAATAAAAATTGATAATCGATTTTTTTCGTTTTTAATTGAAATTATATTATGTTTTTGATTGAGATCATGAACTGATTGATGTTAGACAACCGTTGGAAATCTGGAAGCACTGGACGGTCATTACGTTCCATTGTGGGACTCCTCAACAGTGTGCATCCACAATCCCGCTCGCGGAATTCGAACTCAGGACTTTCAGTCTCACGAGCGATCGCTCAATATACTAGACCACTGATCCAGCATCCAATGATATTAGTGTCTAACTGCTATGACCTTGAATCGCTTTTACCCCGTTTATACTTGTTATGACTTGACCTAGATCTGTCTAGTCTAAATTACAACCTTGACGCGATAGGCTGAGCGGCTTAACCTTGAGTCTAGTACGCGTGAGTTCGAGATGGGGTAGAGAGAACTATTCTAGAACCTACACGAATATTCGTCAAGATTAGAACGAATAATTTGACAGTAATTGAGCGCCGAGTATAGAGAAGTCATTATATGTGAAAATTGTATTTGAAATATTCTCAGCGATTGAAATATAACTAATTCCAACGTTTCGTCCAGCTAACTTGTCTGGACTTCTTCAGGGTAATAATCAAAATCAGAATTATCAAAGAAATATATAGCTTTTAACAATCAGGATTATACTGTGTTAAACCAAACATATATGGATGTTGATTTTTTTGTAAAATAGGATAAAATGAGTCAGTTGACTACAAATCTAGAACCTGATTGGTTGGCAAGCACGCAAGTGAGAGAAGACAAGATAGTTGGAACACTGAACTCTGGATTCTCTGAATTCGGGTTAGTGCAAAAATATACATGACCACAACGTACGATTATTTGGAAAAATACAATTTTGCCCGAAACTGGGAATTAGGGTAGAAAATAAGATGCAAAATATTATGTTTAAATTACAATATTTTCGGAACAAAAAAGGGTATGGTAGTGAATGATACATAGAACGAAAACTGATGTTATGTAGGATAAAATAGGGACAAGAATAAATATAAGTGTTTTACAAGGTTTGAATGAAATAAAATAACCTCCCAAGAAAATGGCCTTCGTAGTTGTCTGGGCTTCTTAATTTCCCGTTCACAACACTAACCTCAAACAATCCACAAAATTGCGCGATCATCTTCCATTGTACTGTGGTAGATACCTGTCTCTATCCAACACGGATTAGCTCCATTTGTCATGGCTTATCACTAGAATTCCGAGAATTCCTTCACCAATCTATTCACTAGTGAGCACATACTAATTACTAGTATAGGTGTTGCGGAGATTATTATATTAGTTTGTCATATATTTGAGATAATTATGTTCTACTTTATAAGCAAATTTAAACACTGGCTAGTAGTGGAATCCAGTATGATTCTTGTTCCATCCTATTTGGGACTCGTCAACTGAATGTGTCTGCAACTCAAGTACATGTTCACTCCGGGGCTCGAACCCAGTACCATTCGCTTCAAACGTCATCGCGTTATCTGCTTAGCTACTGAGTCCTCATAGCCACCTGCTTGTTCAATAGGGTGAAGTTATATTCACTTGTTGTTTACTTCTATTTTCTGGTTGTTATTTAGGACTTTAATTGATCAGTCGGTTATTGGCATATGTGCATCCTGTGCGTATTGTCTCAATATTGCCTTAATTTATACGCATTCTAAGCAAAGATGAATAGTGGCTAGTGGTGGAATCCAGTTTGATGCACTTTTCGTCCTATTTGGTTTTCGTCAACTGGATGTACCTGCATCTCAGAGTTGTTGTTCCCTCTGGGTAAATATATCTTTTACTTGTTTTCCGTTGAAAAGTTACGTAATTGACTTAAGTCATTGCAGAACCCGATAGACTATGATTTAAAACTGTAGTAATTATACAGTTCTCTTTTTTAAAGTGGTATTTAAGTAAGTATTTACTCCAGCAACTGTCATTGTTACTTCATGCTGAAAATGATGTATAACCGAATGACATTATTTATTAGGAGGTCATTAAATAGGCTATTGTGATTTATTTATTAACCTTGCTATCATTGCGAAGTTGATCGACAACACTCATTATTGTCAGCTGAAGAATTATTGGGAACTAGAAGTTATTGCTTTAATTCAAATAACTGTACCCTAATAAAAGTAGGTTCCGTTTGATGTAACTATATTCAAGATGAAATCTGTAAGTATTAATAAGAATTCTTGACGGCTGGAGTTTGATTATGTAAATTGTGTGGTAGTTGTTAGCTATGGTGATTGGGGATGGTCATATAGCTTTAAGCATTGAGTGAAGTGTATGAACTAATGTAGTTGAATGTATGAAAGTGAGTATTTCTTACACCCAACTTGACATCAATTATTTTCGAAAATGTTTGTTGACACATTATCCTAAAACAACCAGAAATTATGTCAGAAATGAAATTCTTGAAAAATTACATGCACAAGAATGATATACTGGTGAAAAAACGGACTTTTATAGATTATATAAGGAATTCATTTTTGGTATAACAATGTTACTTTCACTAAAATGTTGAATGAGATACAACTGTTGGAACTAAGTAATGAGTATGCTCCTGAGATTAAAATAACATTGGTTAATAGTATCGAATAAAATGAGCATTAAGTGGAGAAAGTGAACATTTTGATATTGGCCCATTTAGTACAAACACGTCATAGTACCAGTGTAAACCAATCCTTTTCAATTATTTATCAGGTTAGTGATTTTTTGTCTAAGCTTGTCAGACTTAAAGTCTTTCAAACGGCTGAAGTAATACCCATCCGAATAAAGAAATCGGAGTTATGCTTACAGAAGAAATATCTTCAACCGTTTCTCTTCCCCTGGTCAACCTCAAGGTCAATTAATCAATAGTAATCTTAGCTATTCAATGATCTAATTTGACTATTGTACTTATAAACTTTCGTAGTCAAATGTAATTGCTTCTGTTATCTTTATTCACAAATCTTTGACATATTATTATTAACACTATTGGTTAAACATCATTATTAATCTCCTCTATACATGATTCATTCACTTCGCATTCATCCCTCCTTATTATATCTTACTAATTTTTCACACAATACTGCCTTCCACTAAACATTTGATCGAATTTTAATTACACTATTCTTTTTCTTAACTTATGTGACCCATATTTATTCTGATCATGGATCTTAAAAATTTCATTTAATAAATAAGTTAATTCGAGTTAATATTCTATATAAATTTATATCAACATTAACAATTTTATTTTAAAGCGAACGGTACTGGGTTCGAGTCCCGGAGTGAACATCAACCTTTGGGATGTAGATACATTCAGTTGATCAGTCTCAAATAGGAAGAAACGCGCATCAAACTGGATTCCACTACTAGCTACTATCCATCTTTGTTTAGAATGCTTGTGACTTGAGGCCATGTTGAGGTAATCCCCACAGGATGCACATATGCTAATAATAGACTGATCAATTGCACTCCTAACACAACAATGCGAAGATATAAGCAAACAACATCGAGTGAATTTAAACTTCCCCTCGTTGTACAAGCTAGTTGCTATCAGGACTCATTAGTTAAATGGATAGTGTGATGAAGTTTGAAGCGAACGGTAGTGAGTTCGAATCCCAGATTGAACATCAAATCTGAGATGCGGGTACGTCCAGCTGACGAATTCCATATAGAATGAAATACGCATCAAACTGGATTCCACTGGACAGCAGTTTCAGCCTAGTATGAGACTCTTTAATAATGCTTATCCTCAATCCTATAGGCCTGATTTGAATCCAGGTAATTCGGTCTCGTGCACGAACAATCAACCTCTAGACCACTGAGATGGCATTCAACCAATCCATGATATTGCCCAACCATCTTTTATTATCTTCAATTGATAACTGCTTCATATTGTCTCATGTTAATACGAAATGGCCGGTTCAGTGCTTCGAAGTTTTCAATGATGGTTTAACATTGATCTTTACAACTTCAAACTAAAATTTACTAATATATAATACAATTGAGAAAACTTTATTGACGTTCAATTCATATTTTCTAAAGAAATAAAATTGTACAAATTGAAAATTTGGCTCGTATGTTGCATTTCGTTGTTGTTGTTGTGGATCTTGATGGTTTTCTTTGACAGTTATTGAACAATATTATTAGTGTATACTTTGATGATGGTAATAAAATGTTCATGGATGAATGATTGAAATGAACAAATAAGCAAATACATTGTTTCATCAAACATTTCATTAAGTATAGTGTTTATATTGCCAAACTTTACTTAGACAGATAGTCATTTAACATGCATGGATACATGTATATACACCATTAAACATGATCTAATTCAAATTTTCAATGAAAATTTATTCAAACAACATGTATGTAATCTACAAGTTAAAAAGAATGATCCGTTTTCTTTTCCATAAAAACATTGTCAATTTCACATAATTTTTTGGAGAAAACAGGAAAACATCATGAGTAGAATGATGAATTACTGTAACTGTGACTGAAGGTCCTAGGGTCGAAGCCCGCGAGGCGGGGTCGTGGATGCGCACTGCTGAGAAGTCTCCACAATAGGAGGAAACAGTCGTTCAGTACTTACAGATTTTCAGTGATGGTTTAACATCAATCGGTTCATGATTTCAATAAATAAATTAAACTTATGATAAAATTATGATATTTAAAATACTCTAGTGAGAGTAGAACATTTCAAGAAATTAGATAATATTCAACTCGATCTAAACTATTAACATCACGAATTCTGCATCAGTGTTTATTTCAAAGTATTTACTTCTAACTTTATTAGAGGCAAAAGGTTAAGTAGATCGAAGAAAAGAGAACGAAAAAACAGAATGGTTGTTATGGGAACGATTGAACAATCAAATCTGATATTTTGCAAATGAAGTATTTACTGCGTG